AGTGAGCGAGCTGCAGAGCCGCCATGTTGGGGGTCATTCATTATTAAAACTCTTCTAGCCGGCTTTTCTGCTGCTCTGATAAAACACTATGGCTAAAATCAACTTGGCGGGAAAGGGCTTATCTCAGGCTCCACCTTCTGGTTGCAAGTCTATCTTCAACGGAAATCAAAGCAGAAACTCAGGGAGGAAGACAAGCAAAAATCGTGGAGGAATGCTACTTACTGGCTTGCTCTGCGGTTCGGACTGAGGTCTTTCTTACACAGCTTTTAGGCCCAAGTGCCGAGGGGTGGTGCTACCCATGATGGACTGGGTTCTCCCACCTTAACCACCAATAAAAACAGTCTTTCACAGATACGGCCACAAGCCAACCCGATGGAGGCAATTTATCCAGCTGACGGTTTCTTCTCCCAGGTGATTCCAACTATTGTCCAGCTGAGAATAAGAACTAACGTGGGCAAAGCCCATGGTTCTTACTGTAGGGTCTAAGAAACTCCTTGTTTTAGTTTATTATTGTTGTTGTTTTATTATTATTACCCACAGGATAGCACTATCAATTAATTTTCACAGTAACCTCTGTTCCCTAGAAGACTTTCAGGAGAATGTTTCTGAGATCAAATGTGATGGTGGAGGTAGGTGGGGCAATGTAGCCACACATACATATCTGAAAATTGTGCTTTCTTATGGCCATACACCAGTCTCTCTAGAGAATGGCAAACACACTACGTTCTTAAGCATACATGTTTTCTGATGGAAAGCAGTTGGGCTAAGCAGAGGGCACACAGCATTTCCTACTAGACAGATAGTGCCTCCAGCACTTCCACTGGGCTCAGCCAAAACGTGGGTAATAATGAAATCGATGGCCACGGCTTGTGCACACCAGATACAAATCCTTTAGATCACAAAGTGCTTAAGCTGTCTTTTCAGAAAAGGCCTCCAGATACCACTGGAGAACAATTTAGAGCTGTCTCTACAAGATCGGATATGTGCAGAAATCAGACTGTCCACACAAAGGCCTTCAGCTGTCACAGGCTCAGGATTTCCCCGTAGGACCTGACGTGCCTGCGCAAAACCACAGAGACAATCTATGTTTGCATGAAGAAGTCTGAAGCCTGACCTCATCGTCCAAACTAACAAGGGCTTCTCCTCTCTCTTACCTCACAAACTCCCATCACAGACCTATCTGAGAGGCTGAGCTGAGCTTGCAGCCCCCTGCCCCCACCCATCCCCTGCCCCCTCCTTGCCGACTGCCAGTGCACGGAGAAAAGTTCAGCGTCACTGTGGACACACGTCAAGAAGAGCACAAAAGCTTCTCTGGCTTCCCGCCTCCCATTGGAGAGCAGCATTCGTGGGGCCAATGGGAGAAACAACCCTGTGTGAAATCTCAGCTCGACTTTCAGGGACTTCGCAAGAAACGGCATTTGCCTGATGATGGAGGAGGGTCATCTGTCTATGTGTTACTTTCATTGATTAATAAAGAAACTGCCTTGACCCTTTGATAGGACAGAAAATTAGGTAGGTGGAGTAGACAGAACAGAATGCTGGGAGGAAGAAGGCAGTGAGGCATACGCTATAGCTCTCCTCTCCAAGATGGATGCAGGTTAAGATCCTTCCCGGTAAGCCACCACCTCGTGGTGCTACACAGATTATTAGAAATGGGTTAATCAAGATGTGAGAGTTAGCCAATAAGAGGCTGAAACTAATGGGCCAAGCAGTGTTTAAAATGAATACAGTTTCCGTGTAATTATTTCGGGTAAAGCTAGCCAGGCAGGCCACCGTTCCTTCTACACGTGACCAGGAGCCGGGTGGGACGGAAAGCGGACCACTGCTCCTTCTACAGCCTGACAGCCAGGAGGCCCTGGTTCCATCCACAGCATAAACAGCAAGTGAGGGAATTTGTCTGAGAGCTGATATCTGCCACTGACTGGAATATGTGGATGAGGAGAACAATGAACAAGAAAGAAGCTGTCGCCCAGTGTGCAGAGGTTTGAAAGATAGGGTGGCCACAATCAGGAATGCGGAACAGACTTACCAGCTTGTCTTAATTAAGGTTTCTATGGCTGTGACGAAAGACCATGACCAAAAGCAAATTGGGAAGGAAAGATTTTCCTTTGGCTTATGCTTCTAGTTCACAGCCCATCACTGAAGGAAGTTATGACAGGAACTCAAGCAAGAACCTGGAGGCAGGAGCCGATGCAGAGGCCAAGCATCTTGGCTTGCTCTTCATAACTTCCTCAGCCGGCCTTCTTATAGAACCCAGGACCAGCAGCCCAAGGATGGCGCCACTTGCTGGGGCCTGGGATCTTCCCCATCAACTACTAATTAAGAAAATGCGTTAATAGGCTTGCCTACAGCTGGATCTTAGGGCAACATTTTCTCAGTTGAGGTTCCCTCTTTCCAGATAACTCCAGTTTGTCCAAAGCGGACATAAACTTAGCACACAGCTCTTTGGGGACCAGCTCAATGTTTGTATTGTCTGAAGATGGAGGACATGTGTGATTTTGTTTAAAATGCCATTAATTTGGCCTGCATTGCATCGGACACCTCTAATTCTTTTGCTAGACAAGAAAGAAAAGCTATGCTCTGTGCATTTGGTCAAGGATGAAGTACATTCTTGTGGTCCCAATATCGGCTTCCATTATTTATAGCCCAGAGCAGGCCTTCTGGTCCACTCTTTATCACTGCTCTATCTTCAAACAATGCATGTTTACAAATTTGGATGTTAATTCCCCTAAGTTAAACAGAATCAAAAATCTCAAGCTACGCCAATTATCTCGACTCGTAGGCATATTCCAGGGAGTAACCAAGCTACTATGGGGGGGCTCTGCTTCTGGGAACCCCCACACCATCATTGCACCTCCATCCCCAGGGCTGACTGAAAGCACCTTCCCAAATCTCCATGGACAAACCCAAGGTGGCTGAATTCTGAAAGGCATAGCTCACAGACACTTTCCTTTTCTGGATCAAGTCTTTTGGGAAGAAAATCAAGGATGTCTTGTGTGTGTATGTGTGTGTGTGTGTGTGTGTGTGTGTGTGTGTGTGTGATACCTGAGAAGTTTGGGTCCTTAATTGCAGAAGATTTATTTTCCTTGGTAATGTGTAATAAGTCACCCATGTGTCCCCATGCTTGACAAGAATTCTAGGTAACCCCTGCCTTAGGACGGATGCTTTGTCCACTCGCTAATCCAAATCTCTGACAAATAGAAGCAAGCATGGGATCAGAGCATATCAGCTTTCACCAAAGGGAAACTATCATATGTTAAAAGTGTTTTAAAACATCTAACATTTGCGTGTGCTTAAGTGTTATGAGGAGCCGGCTGTGAACATCCTCTGTGCATCTGTTACTCTCTCACACATGCACAGATTTCTGTGAGACACAAGGACTAAGATCTCCCATTGCAAGGAGGAAATTCCATATAAGGCAGACTAGAAGTCTTTTCTAGAGGTGCAGTCAATGCTCACATATTTTCTGGTAAATCTTTAACACCCTTGAGACCTAGAAATATTTTGATTTTATGTATTTTTTTTCTTTTGGTTTTTCAAACAAGCCCTAGCTGTCCTGTAACTTACTCTGTAGATAAGGCTGGCCTTATCTCACAGAGATCTGCCTGCCTCTGCCTCCCTAGTGCTGGGTTTAAAGGTGTATGCCACCACTGCCTGGTGATGATATTTTCAATCCCCTACACTCTACAGTTTACTTTGCTCATCCATATGTATAATTATTTTTGCCTTTTCTTCTTTAAAAGATGGAATTATCTCAAGAAACGTAAAAGAAACTCCATCCAGATTTCTGTCTGGGTAAGCCTAAGGGGTATCCGTGGCGATGGTTACTATTTAAGGTCCATTCGACAGGATTGAGGGTGTCCACGGAAACAACCCTCTGCTTGTGCCTGTGACAGGCCATTTAGATGAGGGTCACTGAGTTGGAAGACCATTCCATGTGCAGGAGGCCTAGACTGTAACAAATGCATAGAAAAAGCTGAGTGCCAGGATTTGTCTCCCTGCACTTCCTTAACCATAGATGTAATGTCACCAGCTACTACTACCGTGGCTTTCCCGCCATGAGGGCCTGAACTGAAAACTGAGACACTTTAAGTTCCCTTCGCGAGGGCATCTTGTCATAGCAACGAGACAAACAACTAAGACACAAAATCCCAGTTTGGCGACACACTTCTTATTCTAAGTTCCCCGAAGCTGCGAGCAACGTCTGCTTAGACACTCAGAGACAGGGAAGCCCCAGATAGATTCATAGTCTGACAGGACCAGCACAGCCTCATTATGGCCCCAGCATGGCCCCAGCATGGATGAATGTCCTGATTTGTAAGTACACAGCCATTGTCCAGATGGAAGACACAACATTCTAGCGAGTTCAGACAGCCCATCAAATAGCCAAGACAAATTAGTCATGAACACTGTGACTGGTTCAAAACAAGGACAGCTTCTATGGTTTCCACTGCTTCCACACATGAAATCAACAGCATGAACCACCACAACAACAAACAAACAATCATTCATGTATTTAGACCTGGGCACAGGGCTGAGAGATGGCTCAGCAGTTAAGAGCCTTGCCTGGTCTTCGAAAGGTTCTGGGTTCAATTCCCAGCAACCACATGGTGGCTCACAACCATCTGTAATGAGGTCTGGTGCCCTCTTCTGGTGGCAGGCATATACACAGATAGAATAATGTATACATAATAAATAAACAAATATTTAAAAAAAAGACCTGGGCACAATTCCTTACGCTTTTCTTTCAAACAGAAGTGTTCTTACAATTTTCCTTTTTTAGAAGGTAGAGGGTGTGTACAGAGACCTCCATCGACCCGAGAAAAGAGCATGGGCTATATGAAAGAGTTGCTGGGCAACTTCCACCTGCTGCCACAGACCACAAAAATGTCTACCGGGATAACCGAACAGGTGAAAATGTTCCCAGCGTTCCTGGCTTTGCCTCTCCTCTCCTGCCCGCATGGACACCTCACGCCCTGCGGACAGCTAGCCATACTCACCAAACCTTGGCAGGTCGACAGGGCCACCGAGGAATTCCCCTGGGACCGTAGATAGCCTTGGTAGAAGCAGAACTCCTCTGGTGGTAACACCTGCACAGACGTGGTGCCTCCCTTCCCGAGAGTTTGTACCATAAATCCAGGAGCCACCAAGTTGCTGGCGGCTCTCAGGTCGAGATGGAGGTCATGCCTGGGGCCCTTCAGTCGCAGGTGGAGGGCATCACCTCCTGGCTGGGCTGCTGCTTGCCGCGGCCGCCGCCTCCTCCGCTGGTGATGCATGATGTCATGGGATACGTAATCTCCGTTGTGGTCCACCTCGTAGGCAGAAACCAGGTCATACTCTGAAATTGAAAAAGGAGCAGAGGCTGAGGAATCCCGGAGTTCTGAGAAGAATCTCTGACTAGCTACACGGGATAGTTGTTGGGCTAGTAATGAACTATAACCCTGAAAGAGCGATTCTTGTTTGATGTGGCATTGGCTCTCCCTTTTATGCATAGTGGAATCTGCTGTATCGGTAACAAGCTGTCACAGCAGCAGAGATTCATTGGAGCTTTGTTTCCAGCACGTTCCCATTTAGCTCTGCTGTTTATCCCTCCATGCGAATTTGAGACTGGGTGGATGTTGAAGCTTCCCTCCCCCGTCATTTACTGGGTGGAAATAGCAAGATGGTCTTATGTTTTATGATAGCTGTGAAGCATTCCTTTCTTCGTGTGCTTTATATTTTGTATAAAAACCTGTACTGAACTGACAAGACATTTTGGCTTCAAGTACCATAACTGAAAGAGAAAAAAACATGGTAGATATTCTTGCTGTTTATTTAATTCTGAAATCATTGAACACACAGAAGGAATGGTAGGCTGTAGACACATCCCAGGAATCGCAGGTTACAGAGATTCTCACACGTGCTGGACCCCCTTAGCCACCATAGACCTTCCTGTTGCCTTGGTTTCCCATTTGTCCATCTGGGTTCTCAGGACACTGTCAGCAGCACATCTCTGCGTCAGGTCTTACCATTATACTCTATGGTGTCTTGGTTTAAAGAGCATTTAACTAAACTAATTCATAAAAGTAAAAAAACAAAACAAAAAACAAAAAGCCCTCTAAGATCCTGTCAGACCTACATGGCTAAGACCGAAGAATCATCTTGTCCTACACCCGGACTCCTACCTTCCGCAGACAGCAGAGAGGGGCTTTCTTTTCTGAGTTCCCACACAGTCCTATGCATATCAAAACATGTTCTGCCATTCTGGGAAAGCATCTTATTTTTTAAGATGATAACCAGGACTTTCCCGGTTCATACCTCCATCTACAATATCTTCTCTGTGTCTACCATCTGGGAAGGGGCTATTTCCAGGATGTTAGGAAATAGGTCAAGGTCACAGCTGGCTGCTCAGCCATGTTATCAGCTGAGACCTGTGGCCAAGGTAGCTTTAATGAGGCCAAGGTTAAAATAATATTTTAGTTTGAGATTAGCTAGCTTGGTTTATGACTTTAAAATATTTAATTAAGCATGTAGTGTGTGTGTCCAGTTGTATATGAGTGTTGGCTGACTTTTGTGCTTGCATTTTTTCTAATAGCTGAAACCAACATGTTGGCATGGTGTCAGGCCTTGCCCTGGATGTACTGCCAGGTGTCTTTGCAAAGAGCTCACTCTAAGCATGGGGACTAGAGGGGATTAAGATGACAATGCAGCAGGTCATCCTTCAGACAGCACCTTTGGAGCTTTCCTGGTTCCAACCTTCTAAACACACGGGTTCTCCCTGGAGTATAAACAGATTCCTTCTTAAGAGGTAACTCTGCTAGACTCCTGATAATCAAGGCTCCTTTTCTGATTAATCAGGAGCAGACAGTTCTCAGACTGCGTCTAAAGTGTTAGTTAATTAGAGGGAAGCAATATCCATGTACTTATCACCAAATTATTTTGAGTGAACACAGTCACTTGTCTGTGATGCTTTTCTGTCCTGCCAAACAATAAACAGGGGAAACAGAATAAAAACGTGGCAGTCAGTGACAGGCCACAAAAGGCATCTGGCTGGGTTTGGGAGAGGCGAGGAAGGTCAGAGATTAAAAGCAGGGTGCTTGTCGGGATGTTCTTCTGACAACCATGCTGGGTGAAGACACGAGGAAGACAAGATTATGGAGCCTGCCACATAGCAGAGGGTAGGCCAGGGCTCTGCTCCTGAGACCCCTATCTTTTTCAGATCTAAAGCATTTGTGTGTCTCTCGCCATTCCCAAGCTCCTGTAGGTCTAGCAAGTGAGAGCAACAGACTGGACTGGGTAGCAACCTGTAGATTCGGGAGGTAGCAGGCCCTGGCAGGTGACTGGACACCTGCATCAGAGCTGGGGACTGAGCTTTGGTGGGGTCAGACACATTGGTTTATTGTTTTCTGTAGAGGTGTGAAGGATCAGACGATCTGGTACCTAGTGAAGGGGGGACAGACAAGCACACCAGGCCTCAGCATGTCTGAGGAGACAGTGTAGGTGCATCCTCTGTCCACACACTGTCGGTTTGCAGCTCTCCAAAGCACTTTCTTTAGAGGGACACCTCCCCTGTTCTCTGCACTGTGGGGTAGGCATAGCTAACAGGGTACTGCTAGCTAGCACACCTGGCTCCTCATGAGGGGGGGTCCCCCGTAGGGCTTCTAGACTCCTCCCCCTCCTGCAGGGGTGATGCAGTAAAGGCAGGAGGCACAAATCTTGTTGTCAGCCTAATTAGTGAGCATCACTGTACATAGAGAAGTGATCATGGTCACATCATCCAGCCACACCTTGCCTCGATATGTACCTGGAGGGCTCTCAGTCAACATACTGCAGAGACAATGAACACTTTTCACAGTAACCAAGGGACAGAATTGACCTAGGTGTTGGCCATCAGCTGAACAGATATGGGAAAATGATAGACACAAACATGGGCACGCACACGTGCACACACAAACACAGACACGCACGTACACATGCATGCACACACCTAGACATAGATAGATTTGCACACACATGCAAGAAGGGGCAAAGAACCAAGCTCTTTGCTTGCAGGACAAAGTATGCATGCAACCGTAGATCATCATAGTAAGTAAAATAAGACCCAGAAAATAAATATACCATTTTCTCTGTTATTGTGGAGAGCCTGTATTTTCCACAGATGTAGAACCTTATATTCATATACAATAGTGAAGTAAGATGTGAGCCTCTCTGGGGCAATGAGTAAGAGAGAGGAGAGGGCAAGAGAGTGGATGTGTTAAGGTACATGGCACATTTATGTGCAAAAGTCCTTAAGATGCCCACTGGTATGGGCAATGAATATATGCCAATCAGTGAATAAGGATGTGACTGCTGGCTAACAGTGCAAACAATGCTCCAAAGATATAATTTATATTCTTGTGGCCTTTACTTTGGAGGTGAGATAATCTATTTTATTTGAGAAAGGGGCATAGAGTATTAATAGTGTCTGGCAGTTATTAATAATTTGCTTTTGTATAGACGAGTCTTGTTTAGATAAATGTCTGACACCCAGCTTCCTGGGATGAGTGACCTGGTGTGGATCATTGATAAAGATTTGCAAACACTTTCACTGGGGATGATTTGAGGATGAGCATGACACCATGGGGAAGAGACATTCAGGAGAACCATGCTGTAAACGCCATGGCTCAATAACATCAGTATGGGGGGGGGGTTCAATGCCCCAATCTTTTAAGTTGTGAACCTTGAGCGTTTTGATATTTAATAATTGTTTTTGATGCAATTCATATCACTGTATTTACTGAACTCTCTGGAAAAGCCAGTGCCAGTTCTCAGGAGAAATTGTGTGCTGGACCTGGGAGCAAATGCCTTGCTGTGACCAGGGCTTGGCTTCCAGGTAACATCATGGTCTCAGCAAGGCTGCTTCTCTCAGGAAGTGCTTCGCTCTTTGTGGAGATGGTTTTGGCTGTCACTAAGGGGAAAGGAGACTTTGTCCCTGCATCTAGGGAGGTTGGTGGACATCAAACCTCAAACCTCGACAGCATATCCCCTTGAGAGCTAAGTGTTACTCCTGCCAGGGCATGAGAAACCTTGATTTTATCAAGGCCTAGAATCAAATGCTCACAAATGCGTGTGAATGGCTCAGGGCTGGAGGTTACAGTGAATGAGCTCAGAAGGCAAGCATCCTACCGCATTTGCTGGACCAGCGAAGACAAAGAGTAACGGCAGGAAACTGAAAGCTATAACCTAACTTAATGTGTAATGTGTTAAGATAATCACTCCCCAAACCAATGACTTATGATTTAAAAAGAAACAAGACTCCTGCAGCTTGATAATCCTTTAAATAAGCCTGGCTATGCAGATGTTTGCAATGAGAAAAAGTTCACAAAGGGCTCCCTGACTCACAACCCCCAGTGACTTGATTATATGAGGTTTCTTGAACACAGCCTCATGTCTGGGAAGGCTCCCATCTGGAAATGATGGTATTAAGTTCAGGCGTACCCGTGGGTGTGCCAGGTCAGCAGCAACCACTTAGTAGAGGGGACAGCAAAGACCCATGTAAAGACTGGGTCTGGAATATCCAGCCCTCACAGGCATTCACACTGGTTGTTTGAAATTGGCCATAGTAAAATATCCACAGCATAGGAATCTGTACATGCTGATTCCCCAGTCCTACCACAAGTCCCCAACACTCATGAGCACAGCTTGGGCCTGCTCTCTCTCGGGATATATATGTCTAAATATACATCATTGCAAGCCTGGAATATACAGTCAAAATATACATCCTCTATGTCTAGCTAAGTATCTTTTTAAAAATGCACTTTACTTAACTAGATGTGCATGTGTGCGTATGTGGCATGTTTGTCTGTGTATGTGAGAGTGTGTGTCTGTGTGTGTGAGTATGTATGTGTCTTTGTGTGTGAGTATCTGTGTGTGTATGTGTCTTTGTCTGTGTGTGTGAGTGTGTGTCTGTGTGTGACTATGTGTGTGTCCTTGTGGGTGAGTGTGTGTCTGTCTGTGTGTCTGTGTTACTGTGTGTGTGTGTGTATGTGTGTGTGTGTGTGTGTGTGTGTGATGTACCATATGAGAGCAGATGCCAGCGGAGGATGGCTAGGTTCTCTGGAAATGACATTACAGGAATCTCTAAGGCACTTAGGTCCTGGAACCCAGCTGGGAACCCCTGGCAAAGCAGCAGGCACTCAGACAGTCTCAGAGCAATCTCTCCAACAACGCCCCCTCTGCTAACATTCTAAAGAACGTCTGAACTTTGCCTTGGATCTGAAAGCCTAAGGTTTTTAAAAAGCTAAAAATCTGTGCTATGCTCTTGGCGGTAACCACGGATGCTATTACAGAGACAAATATGAATAGAACCGCTGAGTAATAAAAAAGCAAAAAGCGAAATAGAGTCATCAAAAAAGTAAACCAATGCACTCATGTTCGATAATCAAATTGATCTCAAATTATTTAGCCATCATTGCCTCAAGGAGCATGTGAGGCTCTCTTTCCTACTGCACAATTACCTCATGCATCCAGAAAAATAGCAAGAACTCTCACAAGTCTCACTTTCAGCCAAACTCAGCTCGAAAGCTAATTTAACAATCAGCGGGTATCCCGGAGACCAGGCGTCTCAGCGTGTGTAGACCTAGAGTCACAGAGCACTCTTGGCCCTGCATCTCTGTTCTGACACAGCTCTCCTCTGCTGGGTGACGGCTGCCCACGCTCTCATTTTGTCTTTCGATAGCTAAGGGGCGACAGCACCAGGAGAGAGCTGTGCAGGCGTCCTGTCTCCGCTAAGTCAGCGCCACCCTGGCAAAGGCTCACATCCTCGGTACTGTGGGCCCTGTTCAGGCCGGTAAGTGCCTGTCATGGAAACACTGCCCTTGGAATCAGGAAATGAGATGCCACGTAGTGAGAGGCCTGTGGCCTCAGGCAGTAAGCGTGTCTTCTCTTCCTGAATAGATGCTCTGTCTATAATGGTATCATCTTAGAAAAACCTTCATTAGTGCAATAAACATGACCCGGGCGGGCTGGCTGGATTTCTCAGCCTACTCCGTGCTAAGCCGGACAACCAGCGTTTGATCTGACGATCAGAGTGTCCTCTGACCGCCATAGCACCCTGCACCCTACAGACGCAATAAACAAATGCCGAAGGCATCATGAGTCCCCATGGAATGTTTATGATTTTATTCTGAAAGTAGGGCAAAGTGCAGTGTTAGAGCGGTAAGACCGCCTATAGGTCATGCCTGTGAGGAGAGGCAGAAGCGCGGTGGAGATGAAGGCGGCAGAAGGTGGGCTCCAAACTTTCCCTTCCAAACGCACTGACAACCGGGCTACCGGCACTGTACTGTTTGCGTCTGGCGCCCTCCAGTGGTTCTCAGTCGAGACTCATTCATCCCTTCCTAATTACCTCGTATTTAGTACCAGGAATTTCAGTGACCAATGTGCACAGTTCTTATAAATTTACCATGATGAAGAGCGAGATAATGAGGATTTCCATAGAATCAGTCCTTTAATGGTGTAAATTTTCTGAAAATCCACCAAAAAGATTAAAACTGGCTCGCCTTTGGTCGCCAATCCTGCTAACACTCTCCAGCTAATCCGACCCAGGAAAGGACAGGAGAGTAACTAACACGTGTGCGGGTGCTGCGGACCTGGCACGGACTAGAACTTCCTAGAGACTATGCGCTAGCCTGCTTTCTCAGTCACCGCGCGTCCTTGCTATAACATCTCACAGGGAAAAGCTTCATTGTGAACCACAGCGGCAGCCATGCCTTGCAGAAACTTTGGATTCGAGTTCATACCTAAGATGACCCAGGACACGAACGTGCCTTGGGATGAGCTCCTGCTACTGATACTAATTTAGTCACCTTCTGTCTCCAGGTGTGTCAGTCAAAGGCGGAGAAGACTTCAGCGGGAAAGAAATGCAAGGGCGAAGAAGCTGACGTGGGAGCAAGGCTGCCTGTGTTAGGTTTGGTGTATATACATTAATGATGCGTTTATTACGTTAGTATATAGAGTGTCTTAGGACCTTCCTACGCTCGGATATATTACCCTTTCTCCAGTGTAACGCTGGCATGCCATTACCGCTTCTCTGGAAAATATGATACAGATATTTGTGGGAGGTCATCCGTAAGCAGGAACTCACAATGTATTAAAAGCAAGATCGCATCTTAAAAGCTCTTGGCGTCCTGAGCCAGCGGGGCTTGCCAACTAGCAGCAGCGGGTTGTCGGACTCTTACCTGGGGGTATCCGCGAGCCCCCACCTCGCAGACTTACCATCGGTTTCCAGCCAGTCCGACCCGGAGGATAGCGGAGTTTGCGGGTTTCCCGGACTCCCAGACGCTGCATTTGAGGGTCCCAGGGCACAAGCAGGTGTTTGCTAGAAAAAGTGAGAGCACCTCAGTGGGAACGCGGGACTGCAGAGCCCAGTTACCTGAGGAATGCACTTCCCGGGCTTAGGGACTCTGCAGGTAACTGCGCGACTCACCTGATCACTGACCTGCGCCAACCACAGCACCCAAAGCGCTACACAACCACGGGGCTGCATGGCCCCGCCGCCGCGAGAGCTCACAAGACTCGGCTCAGCAGTCTCAACTGGGTCACCGGACAGCCCGGTGCAAGCGCTGTGTCAGGGAGCAGAGGACCGGATTCGACAGAAGCTCTGGCGTTCCAGGCAGCGCCTCCACCATGCACACCAGAGTTATCACTGCAGCTTCTCTCTGCACCAGGGGTGGAGTGGCAGTGGTGGCGGGGGCGGTGGAACACCCGCCCCAAGTATGGGACAGCAGGGAGGAGGGCAGGGAAGGAGAGGGCAGGGCGAGGGAGGGCAAAGGAGAGAAAGAGAGGGGAGGGGAGGGGGGGATGTAAAACTGGGAGGGAGGAGGGGTACCAGTAGGAGAAAGGCCTTGGAGGAGTGGCAGGGTGGAGAGATCAGGAGAAGGGGGATCCACTCCAGGGACTGGGCATCCTTTACACATACAACCCAGCCCGAGGGTGTTTTGCCCACGTACATGCAAGCCTGGAGTAGAGGCAAAGCCAGGACGGGGTAGTATCTACCCATCTGCCCTTGCGCATTTGCGACTAAATGCCCTGGTGTGGGACTCCCAAATACTGCAACTCCGTGGGATTTCTCACCTAAGGGCAGGACTGAGCAGCATAGGGGCAAGGCATTTGTTGTCTTTCCCTGGACGCTGACTAATCTGGAGCTTGCCTTCTCTTCTGGTGGTTTTAGCAGGGGTGCACAGGGAGGGGTGGATCTGCTTATGAATGAATGTGAATTGTCCTGGGGCTTGTGATGTGGAGGAGTGAATGGGGACAAGGCAGGGCAGGGCAGGGCAGGGCAGGGCAAGCAAATCAGGAAGCTGGGTCTCCCACGTCTATAGTCTGGTATAGGTCAGCAATGGCTGGTTCTAGGTTAACCTTAGCCTGTTGAGAAAGCAGGTGTCAGATGACTGGACATCCTATTAGGAAGTCTAGGGACCCTAACCTAGACAAGACCAGGTGTATTCAAGGCAACCAGTGAATGCTCTCCCTCCAGACCTGTGTTCTAGTCCATCCATGACCTGTGTATGTTTGTGAATAGGAGTGCCTTTCGTGACCATCGACAACTGATAGTGTCTGCTGCAGCGTGGGCACAGGTACAAATAGCACACAGTGTACAGGTAGGTGGTTTGCACGTGTGACCCCCCCAATGACTGCCCACCCCAACAGCTGCCCTCCACTTACCTTCTGTGGGACCTAGATCCCAGGCTCCCATATACCTTCGATTTTAGGGTCCCTCATTTGTAGCTAGACTGACCTTGCCTGGTCTGTAGGGGTGGGAGGGATGCATGGGCAGTAGTGGCTGTGGTCTACGGGTGCTTGCCCCACTCTACATTGAGTTGAGATGCTCCAGGATGGCTCTTCATTGGCTGAAGGTGTCATACATTTCAGAAAGGATGGAGCAGGATGGAGATTCCCTGACATATGTGAATCTCTATGTAGGCGTATACGTACTGCTGGTTCTTTCTCTCTTCTCTCTTGTAGTTGCACGTTCTCTCTCTCTCTCTCTTTCTCTCTCTCTCTCTCTCTCTCTCTGTGTGTATGTGTGTGTGATCTACTGCATTTAATTAGGGCTACTTGAATGAACATGGAGGATATTTATTGCAGCGTGGGCAATGTACCCATGTGTGTGTAATAGAGGAATACGACTCCCTCAGTCCTGCAACCTTTAACTGTCTGGTCCCTCTGGGAGGGGAGGGGCCCATAAGACTTGTCTCTGGTGAAACATGGATGGAGCAGTCTTATGCAGGTTTCATGAAAGCAACCAATGATGTAATGAGTTCACAATACTGGTCTGTCAGGCAAGAATTATCCGCTGGTACAATAAAGGCATGACCAGTCAGCACACCCATATAATAGCGTTGTTCTCAGCCTTAGTCACAAAAAATGTATCTTTGTACTTTTATGTAAAGATCTGAATTTGAAACTGGCCTTAACAACACCTGTTATTCTTCTCTGCCTCCTCCCCAATGCCATGGAGGTGTCTGCCCTGGTTTATACCTCAGGGCACCTGCTCTCACCCATCAGCAGAGACAGACGAAGGTGGGCAGTGCCTGGAGTTCTCCAAAATGTTCCCCAGAGAGGGAAGACGTTTATCTTTCTTCTAGGTGCAGATCCTCATTGGTTTGGTAAGTGGGGTGTCTAATTATTCCCGGTCCTGTCCCGGGTAACATGAAGGGAGCCAGGCTTTCCTGTGGGGATGTCTGGTCCCGGGTAACATGAAGGGAGCCAGACTTTCCTGTGGGGATGTCTGGGCCTTTCATGCTCAAGTTCCGTCAGTCACCGAGAAGGATGAATGGGGGACACTAAACGTTCACCCTTACAATGTAACACAGTCCTAAAGAGACTGTTTCCACTGTGAAGTAAGACGCCATGCTCTTTACAAGGATGGGCTCCTGATACTTCCCTTGGCTGTGCAAGGACTCTCGTCATCAGTCTAGAACCAGACCCTGGGACAACACATGGGCAGATTGAGAGTGAGCAGAGCAGAAGGTCATAGGTCACAGTGCAGTAAGTGACCCCCCCAGTCTTAGGAGGAACCACAGGGGTGGAATTGGGCAAACAGTTGAATACAGGTCCTCCTTGACATGGGTGAGTGAATTGAATGGTCACATGTAATGAGCTTGGCCTTACAGTGTTGGGACCAGTTCTTCCACATGCATATAGAGAAGACACAATCCACACCAGAATGCGAATGGCTCTCATATAAAAATGTCCCATTTCAAAGCACTGGGCACACATGTGGCAAGGACCCTAACAGCCTTCACCTGCTGACCCTGAGAAGTCAGCCCTGGATATGCTGCGGGATGCATTCTGTCACCTCTGTTAAGCAGCAGGTCAGCATGGTACAGCCTGGATAGAGTCTGCTTTGCCACTTGGTTTGGAATACAGGTGCTCTGGAACTTGGCCCATGGGTTTACAAACCATCTATGACTGCAATCTAGTGGCTTGTGACGGTTGGTTCTTTATGCCAATGCATTGCTTCTTCTAGTCACGAGTGGCATCATCTCCCTCGTGACAGCAGGAGCTCATTTAAGAAGCCCTTGTGAAGGACTGGTGGTGTACCTCAGTGGAAGACACTTGTGTACCACGAGGGAGGCCATGAGTCCCATTCTTAGTGGTATAGGACAGAGTCCGTTAATGGAATGGAAAAGAGAGAATAGAATGAGCTCACGCAAGCATCGGGAGTAAAGAAGCTACGCAGTGCTGAATCTTTTCCCCATGCTGATTAACCCTTTCCAGACTTGAGAAGCAGAGCCACTTTTTATGAGGAACAGCACTTTAGAGCAGGGGTTGGCTTAGTCATGAGGCTTTGGTGAGGCACATACGCTTTGAACCCAAGCAATATAAGTTGACAGAGACTTGTTACCTAGAAGGCAAAACTGCCATTCCCACAACTTACTTAACAGAGGGGTGTGTGCGTGTATGTGTGTGCGTGTGCATGTGAGTGCACTCACATGTGCAACGGGGGCTGCTTAGGCTGTACTGTGGTTCCTGATTCACCTGATACAGAAGTCAGCCTAGTAGGTGGGATCTCAGGGGTCATAGATACTCGAAGAGGAATCTAATGGAAGGTCCTGCCTGAAAAGGCTTGCGGTTCATATTCTTTTCTGAAGTATTTGGGTCAGTGCTCAGCACACTGTACCTCCTGGGCAAGCACCATCCAATTGGCACAGAGATGCGGCATTGCCAAGGGGCTTTGCAGTTTGGAAGACTGAGAAGTGCCAGATTCCCCATTGCGAGTCACAGGCGAGCAGCTGTCCCACAGAGGAGGTGAAGGGGTTGGAAGACTACACCTCATATTACATAACTCCACTGTCCCAGGGCAGGGTGGTACCAGGCCAGGCTTTACTTCTTCCCCAACCACTCCTTCCACTCCACTAGAGGGCGATTTCTAGGCCTGGAAATAGAATTTCCTTCCACCGTGAAAATTAAGCATAGTAAGAAATAATTTTAAAAAACCCTTTTTATGGAAGAAAACTTAACATTTCAGTCTGGGAGAAGATAAACATTGTGAACTTTGTTTCCGATTCATTAGGGCTTCCCGTGAACACAGGTAAGTATAGCTTTGGAGATCAGGGGGCACCAGACAGAAAGTCCTACCCCAGACCTACATCACGTCAATCACCTCAAGATCCCTGTTCAACCTGACCAGAGCAATGAGGATAGGATTGCGATCCCTGGGTCTCTGGTGGCAAACCAGAACTGTACTGATGGCTCGGAAGGGGGATAAGCGGGGGTGGGGACCATACTGGATTCCTGCCCTCTGCTGCTCTACATTCCGCGAGTCTTTGGTTCCTCTACACTTTGAGATGTCACAGTTTGCAAAGTCTGCAGAGGAAGGGAAAATGGAGAAGGAGGACAGACAACGTGGGGCTTGAGTTCAAAATGTGCACTCTGTGTTCAACCTCCCTGACTAACTATGGTGACACTTGTCCCTGATCAAACCATGCTCTACACTGTATACTACTCTCCCGTAATTACGCTATCCATAATAACAATTGCATAGTAGTCAATCTATAAGTATTGAAAGTATATAATGTTTAGCTATGTAAGCAATGGTGCAGTAGGAGACACACAGTCCAGCGGTCCTGACAGAGGCCTCCACTCAGGTGAAGCTTGGATTCATGACGTCACTGTAGAAAGGAATTTCAGGATGTGCCAACCTGAAACAGAATTTATTAAAGAAGTTTTTTCTTTTTAACACATAGGTTTGAGTGTGTATGGTGGTGGAGTTAACAGAAAGGGAGGTTCTTAGTAGACGATCAGAACATGCAAGAAATCATGTCCCAAATGAGGGTCACATTTTATTTTCTTTATGTTAGTGGTACATGAGCTTGGTAAGTTCTGAAGCTATTATCTTTCAAGTCCTGCAAGGATTGGAGTTCACAGTGTGGTTCTCAAGAAGCATGGGGGCAGTATAGAGTTGTAGCTGACAAGGTAAAAAGCCACATCACAAAGGGTGTGCAGGAAGTTGGGACAGATTCAATGTAACATTTTGATTATGAGATTCTTAAAAAAACTTATCTGGGAAAGGAGTAAGGCCACACTCAAGGCCATGTGAGACCCGGCACTAACTGTGACTGCTACTTTAGCATTGCTGTTTGGAAATAGATCTGTGTGAAAAGAGCATTGTCCATGCTGACAACCTTCACAGCAAACACGAACTGTGCAGCCATTGTTGATCCCCGGCTAGGGAGAGGCTGCACTTGGACTCCGATTGCGGGGTTCCTTCTCCTTCCTGTGTGTTTGTCCCCTGTTCTTCCT